CGATGGGGGGGATTGAGAAAACGCCTCCTGAAGAACCCAGAGCTCTCTCAGAAGTATAAAGAAGAGATGAGACGTCAAATCGACGAGGGACCCGCTGAGCGAGTCCCACGTCAAGAACTCAGTGTTGCACCCGGGAAGACCTGTTATCTCCCACACCACCCTGTGTTGAATCCCAACAAGCCAGAAAAGGTGAGAATAGTGTTTGATTGTGCAGCCGAATATGAGTTGATGTCATTGAACAGCCAGGTGATGCAAGGGCCAGACCTTAACAACAAATTGATGGGAGTCCTCATCAGATTCAGACAAGGAAAGGTGGCACTCATGGCTGATATCGAGGCAATGTTCCACCAAGTGCGAGTAGTACCCGAACATCGAGATGTCTTTCGATTCTTATGGTGGACGGCCGACCAGCTGTCAGGGGCCCCCACCACTTACCGAATGACAGTACATCTCTTTGGAGGTGTGTGGAGTCCTTCATGTGTTGGGTATGCGCTACAACGAACATTCCAAGATTACGGGGAAAGTCTCCATGACGACATCAAGAAAGCGAATCGTAACTTCTACGTTGACAATCTGCTTCTCTCAGTAGATTCGCCGGGGAAGGCGGATTCAGACAGAGAATGCCGTGGGATTAAAGGAACGAGCGTTGGGAATCTTGTGGGATATGGAAACGGACGAACTAGTGGTCCGGGTCCAGATCCCTAAGAAACCGGAGACGAAACGAGGCCTTCTGAGTTTGGTTAGCTCCATATATGACCCACTGGGACTCATCACTCCGAGCGTCATAAGAGCCAAAAACATATTCCAAGATGAGTGTAGACGAGGTGTTGGGTGGGATGAACGAATGGCTGAACAGAACAGGGTGGCTTGGCAAAGATGGCTGGATGAACTACCTCACCTATCATGGGTTCACGTTCCACGGTGCTACCGACCCGAGGATGCAAATCTAGTGGGTGCCATGCAACTACACCACTTCTGCGACGCCTCCCAACAAGCGTATGGAGCTGTATCGTATCTGAAGACCACGTGTGAAGATGGAACCCACCATATCGCCTTCGTGTGTGGCAAGGCCAAGCTAGCCCTATGGCGAGAGCTTGAATTACATATAGACAGATCAGTGTTCTGGACAGACAGTATGGCAGTCCTTCAATACATACGAAACACCAAAAGACGCTTCCAGTCCTTCGTGGCCAATCGAGTGGCAACGATACACGAGGACTCCAATGTAGAACAATGGCGCCACGTGACGTCGGCACTGAACCCGGCCGACGACGCTAGTCGTGGATTACATGGAGCAGAGCTCAACGAGGAGGGCAGGTGGATTCGGGGGCCTGCTTTCCTCTTGTTGGAAGAAGACATTTGGCCAAAGAGTCCATTGAGGATTCCAGAGCTCACAGACGGAGACCCAGAGGTGAAGAAGGAAACCACGGTGATGACGATGAACGCTGACCAGGGGGAGGGTACCCTCGATAAGCTATGGGCCAGGTACTCATCGTGGCATCGACTTCTGAAGAGCGTAGCGTGGATTAGAAGGTTTATAGAAAGGCGGCTTGGGAAGCGAAAGAACAAACATCACCGAGAAAACCGGCTCCGGGTCATAGAATTGGAAGAGGCGAAATTAGCCGTCTTAAGATTTATGCAAAGGAAAGGATTCCTTCGAGAACTAGGAATGTTACAACAGGGACAACCCGTGAGAGGTAGCGACGTAAGTTGGCTGGAACCTCATCTAGACACGGACGGTTTGATGAAAGTAAGTGGCCGACTGAAACATGCCGCTCTCCACCCAGACCAGGAGAATCCCATACTGTTGCCAAGGGACAACAGGATAACGGGGCTCATCGTGAGAGAGGTACACTCGACTAGAGCTGGACACTCAGGACGAGAACACACTCTTACCATAATACGTGAGACGTTCTGGATACCTAAGTGCCGCAAATTACTCTACCCCCCAATACGGACGTGTGTCACTTGTCAGAGAAGCAACTGGAGGCCTACCCACCAACGCCAAGTCGACCTGCCAGAAGATCGAGTGCACCCAGGAGGCCCTTTTTTGGTGAAACAAAGACGAGCCCAGGCGAAGAGATGGGGATGCTTATTCACCTGCCTGACCACTGGAGCCATACACTTAGGAGTCCTTATCTCACTAGACACCGACTCGTTCGTCAATACCCTGACAAGATTCACCTGCCGTAGGGGACCTCCCAAGTGTATACGGTCTGACAGGGGACCCAACATGATTGAAGCTAGCCGAGAGTTACGAGAGGCGGTGAGCGGCTGGAACAACAGTGACAAGGTCGGGAATGCCCTCTTACAGAAACAGATAGAATGGCAGTTCATTCCCCCGACAGCCTCTCACATGGGAGGAGTGTGGGAGCGACAAATCCACACTGTAAGGAAGGTCCTCCAGGGAGTGGTGGGCACTGTTACGCCGTCTCTTAATTTACTTTAATATCCAGGTTCTAGGCGTAACCAAAAAAAAAAAAGTGAAGTAAATCAAAAGGGAATAAAAATAAATAAAGTAAACCTTTAAGAATTTAATTAAATTAAATATTAACACAATAAAGAGCCTCATAGGCTGTCACAACAAATTGATTCACTATCGAAACTTTTAAGACACAAATGATACTAAAACATCTAAACATCAAAAGAACAGCTTAAATATATAGAATAAAAATTAAGCACTGGATAACGTTAACACTGCATAAACATAAAAAATACTAACACTGAAATTAACTATCGTGAAACAACACTGAATTACTTAAATGTAACTAAGCAAGCACTGATGGACACATAAGAGACATAAATAGGTACTCACATAGATATACCACATTGGTGGCGACAGGAACAACACAGTAATAAAATAAAGTATAAGTAACAGGTGACGGGTGTCACTCAAAAGAACGTGAACTGAATGACAGGAGGACTGGACTGAACTCAGTCTGCTGGTGGGGTACTATATATAAGGTCGGCTCCAGCCACTGAGACACGCCTATGAAACATGGGTCGTTTAACGATGCAGATGGTCGTTAGAGAAACAAGGAATGCTTGTTACAATACTAAATGAAGAAATAAGATGGGTTTGAACAAATAATGACAGTTAAACCTTAACAGCACAGGGTAAGGTGACTAGAATATATATTAGTAACTATAACACATCATTACAGGAATAATATGGAACAACATGGCAGCATGTTATAAAAAATAATAGAAAAATACGACACGGTCGTAACAGCACCCAGACACTAGACGATGAGTGCCTCAACACTTTGTTCTGCGCCATAGAAGAGATCATCAACGGAAGGCCCATCACCCCAGTGTCTGACGACCCAAAAGAATCTAGAAGCACTAACGCCGCTTCACATACTACGGATGAACCCGAAGACACTGTCCACCGGAGGCGATCGGTCCATGGCACAAGCGTACCGACGAAGATGGAAGCATGCCCAATTCATTGCGGACCAATTTTGGAAGAGGTGGGTAAAGGAATATCTCCCAACACTCCGTCAGCGACAAAAGTTCTTCAAAACTCGCCGTAATCTCCACGCTGGGGATATCGTGATCATCTCTGGACAACCCCTCCCGTGGAGTCAGTGGATGCTAGGGAGAGTACTGGAGGCTCTACCGAGCGCAGATGGCCTGATGCGAAGTGTTAAAGTGAAGACAAAGGACTCAGTGTTAATACGCCCAGCGACGAGACTCTGCCTGATGGAAGGGGTCGACAAGTGAATCTAATGATATGCCGTGATTTCCAGCAAAGCCAACATCTACCAGGAGGATATTATATTCGTTCTCGTTGGTCAAGCCCTAGACCCCAAAACGTGAGTGTGATTGTGAACTATTAAATCCTCTAAGAACTCTAAATAACTTTAATAAGTGTATTTATGTACTGGTGTGATCATGTTATACAAACTGTGTCCTGATGTATCAGCAGTTGTAACATGTGAGTTATATTTAAGAGGTTAATAGGTTATATACTGTATATTGATCGCACTATTCAAACTGTGTGTCCTGATATACCAGCATTTGCTATACGTGAATTGTTCTTTAACAGGTTTTGACCGAATTATACTCATCGCGTCAACGACATGGGTCTTATTGTCCTGCACAAACCAAAATCGCTCCTATGAACGATTAAAATAATTAACCCCAGTTGTCAGGATATTATGGCACTGAATGATACACAATATTTCAATTACATTATTTGTTTAGTTCTATACATAAAGGGTAACTTATTCACAAATGAGTGAGTACAGGCGTGTGAGGCAGTATGTCTGGTCGCACACTTTGTTTTTCACATTTGCGTGAGAAGTATTCAAGCACATTGTGTATTTGGTTCTATACATTCGAACTGATATAGTTACTAAGTGCAAAAAAGTGGATGCAATCTTAATATGTCGGCTAAATTGCCATTGGAGATGAAGTGTTGTGCCATTTCACACACAGTGTGCTTGGACCTGTCCCTAAAAGGTTCTATCTTCACACAGTCGAGGACGTAGTGTTCAAGTGTGTGGCCATATGTCTGGCCACACACTTTTCATTTAGTCTTGTTTACATCTGCTTAAGGAACATACTGCCAAAGGTACTTATATCCTAACCTTAATCTCGCGGTTACAACATCTTGTAATCTAGTGATCTTGTTACTTGCTCCATATACATGTTTCACTTGATACATCTCATCATGGTAAAGTATAGATCGACTAGTGCCTGTTTGCACTTGTCTACTTGCGTCAAACTCATCAATAAGTTCTTTCTTAATTACAGTTTTAAGGGTTCTTTTTGACGGGTGTAGTCAGCATGGATGTGGTCAACAGGGGTATGGTCAGCAGGGATGTGGTCAGCAGGGGTGTGGTCAGCGGGGATGTGGTCAGCAAGGATATGGTCAGCATAGATGTGGTCAGCAGGGATGAGGTCAACAGGGGTGTGGTCAACAGTGGTGTGGTCAACGGAGATCATCTCAATAGGCTGCTTCCCCGTCCCTGTCACACAACTACAAAACATACCTGGGGTCGACGAGCTCCTCCCCAGTGTGTGTGTGTATGTGTGTGCACGCGCACGTTGAGGTACGGAGGGAGGGAAGAAGGTAGTGGGGGTCGTTCAGTATCTTACAAGACGTGTGGGCGATGAGGGAGGTTGAGCTAGACTGTGGTAGATGGGCAACGTCAGCCCTGGGGTGTTCCTTCACCACCCCGTCTAATGCCCGTGTGTGTGTGTGTGTGTGTGTGTGTTTGTGTGTGTGTGTGTGTGTATGTGTGTGTGTGTATGTGTGCCGTCACCGTCTCAATAACAAGGTGAGGGGAAGGAGTGAAGTGCTTTATATATAACTGGAGGGAGTGTTGGCAGCGGCTACCTATCCCACCCCCCAACCTTCACTAGAACCTTCACACACACCTCCTCCGTTCACACACCTCCTCCTCCATTCACACACCTCCTCCCGCCACACACCTCCTCCCGTCACACACTCCTCCGTCACACCTCCTCCGTCACACACCTCCTCCTCCACACACCTCCTCCAGCCACACCTCCTCCTCCATCCTCCGTCCACACACCTCCTCCAGCCACCACCTCCTCCTCCTCCGTCCACACACCTCCTCCTCCCACCCCACACCTCCTCCTCCCCCCACACCTCCTCCTCCGTCCACACCTCCTCCCGCCACACACCTCCTCCCGTCCACACACCTCCTCCCGTCCACACACCTCCTCCGTCCACACACCTCCTCCCCCCTGGCCTCCTGCCACACACCTCCTTCCGCCACACCTCCCTCCTCCCGCCACCTCCTCCGTCCACACACACCTCCCGCCAAACACCTCCTCCCTGCCTCCCCACACCTCCTCCTGCCACACACCTCCACACCTCCTCCCTAACGCCACACACCTTCTCCTCCTGCCACACACCTCCTCCTCCCGCCACAAACCTCCTCCCACACACCTCCTCCGTTCCCCACCTCCTCCTCCACCCTTCTCCTCCCCGCCACACCTCCTTCTCCGTTCAAACACCTCCTCCTCCTCCCCACACACCTCCTCCTCTCGCCATACACCTCCTCCTCCCCCACACCGCCTTCTCCACCCCTCCTCCTCCACACCTCCTCCACACACCTCCTCCTCTCACCTCCTTCTCCCGCCACACACCTCCTCCTTCTCCTCACACCTCCTCCTCTCTTCCTCCCTCCACCTCCTCCTCCCTTCCCCACCTCCTTCTCCCCCACACACACCTCCTCCTCCTCCCGCCACACACCTCCTCCTCCTCCCCACCACCTCCTTCTCCACACCTCCTCCTCCTCCTCCTCCCCCACCTCCTCCTCCTCCCGCCACACACCTCCTTCTCCCGCCACACCTCCTCCCTCCTCCTCCCACCACACCTCCTCCTCCCTTTCACACCTCCTTCTCCCGCCACCCCTCTGAGAGAGTGGTCTAGGGAGAGGGGGTGGTCTTGTCTGAGAGAGGGGTGGTCTGGGACCCCTGTCTGAGAGGGGAATGGTCTAGACCTGTCTGAGAGGGGTGGTCCCTGTCTGAGAGAGGGAGTGGTCTGGGTCTCTGTCTGAGAGAGGGAGTGGTCTAGACCTGTCTGAGAGAGGGGTGGTCTGATCTGTCTGAGAGAGAGTGGTCTAGGTGGTCTGTGTCTGAGGAGGACCTGTCTGGAGGAGAGAGTGAGAGAGGGAGTGGTCTGACCTGTCTGAGAGAGGGTCTGGAGCCTGTCTCAGTCTGGGCCTGTCTGGAGAGGGGGTGGTCTAGATCTGTCTGAGAGAGAGAGAGGGGTGGTCTAGACCTGCTGAGAGAGTGGTCCCTGTCTGAGAGAGTGGTCTGGAGCCTGTCTGAGAGAGGGGTGGTCTAGATCTGTCTGAGAGAGAGGGGTGGTCTAGACCTGTCTGAGAGGGAGTGGTCTAGGTCTCAGAGAGTGGTCTAGACCTGTCTGAGAGGGGTGGTCTGGACTGTCTGAGAGAGGGAGACTGTCTGAGAGGGAGTCCTGTCTGTCTGTCTGAGAGAGAGAGTGGTCTGGACCTGTCTGAGAGAGGTGGTCTAGACCTGTCTGAGAGAGAGTGGTCTGAGAGAGGTGGTCCTGTCTGAGAGGGGGGTGGTCTAGGACCTGTCTGAGAGAGTGGTCTAGACCTGTCTGAGAGGGGGTGGTCTCACCTGTCTGAGAAGGGGTGGTCTAGAGTCTCAGAGAGGGTGGTTTCTGAGATGGAGTGGTCTAGACCTGTCTGAGAGAGGAGTGAGTTAGACCTTTCTGGAGAGGGTGATCTAGACCTGTCTGGAGAGAGGAGTGGTCTGGGCCTGTCTGAGAGAGGGGGTGGTCTGGATCTGTCTGAGAGGTGGTCTGGGAGAGAGGGGTGCACCTGTCTGAAAGAGGGGTGGTCTAGATCTGTCTGAGAGAGGTGGTCTAGGGTCTAGAGAGGGAGTGGTCTAGACCTGTCTGAGAGAGAAGTCTGGAGAGGGGTGGTCTAGATCTGTCTGAGAGGGGGTGGTCTAGACCTGTCTGAGAGAGGGAGTGGTCTAGACCTGTCTGAGAGAGTGGTCTGGAGCCTGTCTGAGAGGAGAGGGGTCTACACCTGTCTGAAAGAGGTGGGTGGGACCTGTGGTCCTGTCTCTGGAGAGAGGGGTGGGAGTGGTCTAGATGTCTGAGAGAGGGAGGGTGGTCTAGACCTGTCTGCTAGACCTGTGCAGTCAGACCCTGTCTCTAGACCTGTCTGAGAGAGGGAGTGGTCTAGACCTGTCTGAGAGAGGGGGTGGTCTAGACCTGTCTGAGAGAGGAAGTGGTCTAGACCTGTCTGAGAGAGGGAGTGGTCTAGACCTGTCTGAGAGAGGGGGTGGTCTAGACCTGTCTGAGAGAGGGAGTGGTCTAGACCTGTCTGAGAGAGGGCGTGGTTTAGACCTTTCTGAGAGCGGGAGTGGTCTAGACCTGTCTGAGAGAGGGAGTGGTCTAGACCTGTCTGAGAGAGGGAGTGGTCTAGACCTGTCTGAGAGAGGGCGTGGTCTAGACCTTTCTGAGAGAGGGAGTGAGGTGTTCAGGCGATATATATCCTGTTAAAGCATAAGGATAGTCAACCTGATATCATGTAAGGGTTGAGGTGAAGCCCTGGTATTAATACTGTACCAGACTCCGCGTCTTAGTGTATATGAAGTCCTGACGATATTCTCTGCCCACTGCTGACTGATACGCCACAAGTTTATAACACAAGGTATTACACACAACTTAGAAAACAGTGTTGAAAACTGAATTTTCCAGGAGAGGTTCTTTGATGCCTACTTAGAAAATTTTACTTGAGGAAAACTCAGAATCCAAGATGACCGCTGTTACATTCCACGACGATCAGGAAAACACTAAAGGGGCTATAAATGTTTTATCAATTGTAATGGGAATATTGATTTTGGTCTAGACTCTCTAGTCAGGTTTTAGGTGTGAGAAATTCAAAGTAATCATTAGAATTTAAATTTAAGTTAATTTTATGAACATACATCGAAGGTGACCACCGTATTTACTTTGGCTCTTTGGCACAAACGTCCTCACACGGCGTCTGGCTTTATTTAGGGTAATTATGGGCTAATTAAGTGTAAATAAATGTAAATAATACATAATATAAGAGAGTTAATAATCGAGTATCAAGAAATGAAAGCCGTACCCAACATAAGTGATAACAGGCCACAACTATGCTCACATTAAGCTGCAGTGTAAAGACAAAGTTACCTACATCTGCAGTGTGAAAAGTTAAGTGTCAGTTAGTGGAGGTAAACACCACCTTCCTCTTCATGTGTGTAAACAACAACAACAACAGGAGCACATGCGTCATGAGTTCAAGAGACATAAAGGGATCATGAGCAAGGACAGTAAAGGTGTTCTCACAAACATGTTGGTTCGAAGAAGAATGTTCATCCAGAAATTTTCCATAATGCCCAAATCACCCTTGATGGAGGTCATCTTTAGCAATGGTCCAATGACTCTCCACACAACACGTGTCCTCGTAACTCCATTATCCTTCTTGATAGATTTGTGTTACAGTGTCCACCAAACATTACACGTGGTGACCGTAGCCTCACTACTCTTAATATATTGAGAGTAAATGGTCTATTGTTTAAGTCTTTCCTGGTGACCGTAGCCTCACTACTCTTAATATATTGAGAGTAAATGGTCTATTGTTTAAGTCTTTCCTGGGAATTAGACTTAACCAACGTCTCCAGTGAACAGTGACTGCGTGCTCGGCTGAGGAGTGATGATGAACTTAAAGAGTCTTCTAAGGACACAGTGACTCATCCTTCAAAGGAGAAACTATTAAATTAAGTAATGTCCAAAAAATTGTGTACATCTTGTTAGCAGACATTGTGTGACCATAGTGTACTGTGGCTGTGGGAGATACTCCGTGTTTATGTTGCCAGAAAACTCCAGGGAAACATACTATGAGATTTGTGTTTGATTAATAATATAGACAGAAGAAGAGCAGACGCGTTAACAGTCCCATAACGAATAAAACAATGGACTCCGCGCTTTTGATATTTTTCTCTGTTCGAAAAGAAATTAAAAAAATTTTCTGCTTCGAATCTGACCATAACAGATGGTGGTGAGGCAGCCACATGGAGCAGCTGCCATAACCCGAGATGACTTTGTGGTGAACGTATAGCATGGTACTCTGACCTCGACAACTGACAACTTTTCTATTTAGGTGATTAGTTAATATGATGTAAAGCGACTCACTCACGTTCAATATTGATTCAATATTTGACATTGACAATGTTATTGATCGTGCATGAGTGATATTGAAGTTTTGCGAAATATATTGAAGAAATAAAAATATATATATTTTATTGACGTGTTCTCAATAATATCACGATTATATTGCTCAATATTTCGTCAGTCTGTGTCGGGAGGTCAACTGGTAAACATGCCGTGTTCCACAAAAGGGCACAGCGCTCTGGAAGATGTCATTATTATCATTGCTCGTTGTTATACTAATTTACTTGGTCATTGATCTTAGGAAAATATTAATGTGATGTGTGAAACACCTATACATTTCCATAATGTATGCACCCTTAAAATATATTTTTTTATTTAAGCAATATTTGTATCCTTACCTGTATATAATCTTTGAGACACAGTATTATATTTCACAGGTTTCTATTACAATTTGGCTTCTCGATTATGGTGATATAGCATTTATGAATTTCAGGTC